TTTAGTTAATTTCCCAAATTTTAAAGGATCATGAAATGGACACTTATTCTCGAATAGAATATAAGTTTTTCTTTAGTGTTGACTTTTTTTTAAAAAATTCAGGGGGCTATAAATAAAAAAGACGACAGCAACCTGTCATAAAAGCGTATCAACTACTTACGCGAAAAACTGAGATATCAAATTCGTTGTTTTGAAACATGATTCTCAAAGCTTGGGCACGCCTTCAATTTCATTATAAACTGTGAATTTTATTGAAAAAGCTTTTGTATAGGCAGTGTACAAATAAGTACAAACCACAATTTTGTATTGTGTCACTGTTCCCACCTGACTCAATAGTTTCGAATAACATATTTGATATGCTAATGCTTAAATGTGTTAATTCCATAATGTTTTTTACTTTTCTTATTATATTTTTTTTCATATATGTATAACATAAATGATTCGAGCCATAATTTTCATACAGGAATAGCATAAATGATTCGAACCATAACATAAGTCTTGTACTAACACGAATTCGGAATTAAATAAAAAAAAGTTAAATGTTGGAAATGTTATTAGAATATCTACCTATTGTATAATGAATTATTAGCAATTTAAAATAAGCAATTTTTTACATGCCCTTTACAAAATATTAAGCAAGTTGTACTTTACAAAGGAATATATATTTATATTAGTAGGTACACATAAGTTATACCAACCTTAATACATTCTGTCTAGAAAAATACGATAACTAGCGGTAGCAAATATTTAGTAAGTACTTAATCAACAACTAAATTATTATTAAACTAATTGTTATGCAGTACTATACGATAAAACAACACGATAACTTTATACTTACATACATTAAGCTAACATTCTCACAAAAAGATCAACATCTAATAATAAAAATTATCTAATATTTGCATTAAAATTTATTATGTTGACTGCTTATTGCTAATAAAAGCTTATTTATAAAATTTTATAATATACTAGCAACTTACCCTCGCTTCGCTCGGGTTCGTCCCTAGGTTGCTTCCCCATACAAACTTTCATCCCCATTTTTACCCCCTTAAGGGATAATTCCGGGTAAAAACTATTCTATATTCTTCCCACAGTCTCAAACAATCTTCTTACCAAATTTCATCTAAATCGGTACAGTAGTTTCGGAGCCTATACGGTACAAACAAACAAACTAGAAATCTAATTTTTCCTCTTTAATATTAGTATAGATTTGTGATGCAACAACAACAATCACTATAAATCTTATTAGAGGAGCAAGTTTATCTAAAATAAATCAGTACTTTATAAACAGAAGTATAGCGGGTGTTAGTCGATAAATAATAAAATGGAGTAATGGTCGCGCGTGGCGTTTAACAAATGAAAACTACGTGCTTCGCCACCGCGTACCGATCGAATTGATTACTGAGTTATCGTAGGCTGGTAGCGATGGTCTTTTAGTTTGTGCTATCTTGTTACATTTTCTAATAAGAGTCACAATATATCTTGCCTCCAATATGATAAGCCTGTAGAGAAATTGTCTTACTGTATTCTATTGGCCTATGATGGTACAAACGATAATATGTATAACAAGATCTGTACAGGTAAGATGTTTACTCTAAAAGTTTTATATGGCCAATTATGATTGGATTTTCATATTTTTAATTTATAAATCATAAAAGGTGAACCCATGTGAAAAGAAATTAAATCTACTAATAAGGGCGGAAAAATATTTTCAGTCATTTATTTACCTTTTATATTAAAAAATAATTTAAATATAAAAAAATGATTTTATACTTTACATAAAATGTCTGTTTTTTTATAATATGTATTGTATGTAATAAAAAAATATGTACTACAAAAAATAAGAATAAACGAAAATACTTAGAAGAATAAGGGAACATTTCGCTTTCCGCAAGCCCCAATAAGAATCTTAAAGTTGGGAGTTATCTATACATTTATCTTTATCTTTACTGTTATGTTATCATGTAGTTTTCCTTGGAGAATCACAACGCCAATTTGAAGTTGACGAAATATCACTTCATCTGAAACAAATTTTACCTCTTTTAAATATATATATACTTACATAATTAATGTGTCGTGAATCACATTACTATAGGTATATAATGTTTTTTTGTTGAGTTAAACTATAAGCTTACATTAGAGTTTAAGTCATAGAGTAAATCTAATCAGAGTATAGAAGAATGTTTCAGAGTTTTTTTTAAATATATACCTAATTTCCTTAAATTATAATTTTAAATATAAACAAAGTGCTATTGTTACTTCCGTATTCATTAAATAGTAACAGGTAATACTTTTTACATCAAGTATCTAGCCCGGAGGTCAGCCCACCGGGCGTCAGCACGTGCCTTCGTTTACCCTCTCACCGCCACTCGATAACATCCTCGATAACACCCTTCATAGTAACAACTCAAAATTGTACACAAAATTTAAGTGTACACAGTTCACTACAGTGTATAGTAAGGTGCTAGGCAGCTGTGGCCGCACGCGCTCTTAATGACGAGAATGACATTGTTTCCAAGTTTGCACGGTGGTCCCGAATTAACATCGATTGCCACTTGATGGCTTTCCTGTGTTTTTTTTTGCGCAATACACTTTGAATCGCATGCCAATGGCTTATTAACAATACAGCTTGTTTATAATAAATGTGACGATTGGTAATACTTTTTGTTTAAATGTGAAATTTATATGATGAGATTGATGGCACAGTGGTACAGGGGAATTACTGTTAGATAGCGATTGCGGGTTCGATGCCCGAGAATTTTTGTAATCACGTAGATCGCGGTTTAGTATATAAAAAAGTATTCCGGTGTAACGCTAAGAGCTAAGTAAAGAAAAAAAAGACTCACTATATTATTCTTATAAGAAAGAACATTAATTTGACTAGAGATGAGAGAAAAATATATACCTATTATTGATATCTATAACAAAATTCAATCTACCTACTAAAATATATATAAAAGTTATTTTTTATAGAGATGTTAGAACGTTTAGTTTCTATGTACATACATATTTTGATTTGCGAGTTTAGAAATTAGAATGAAATATTATTAACTAAACTAACTTAGACTTTTAACAAAAAACGAGTAAATAATGAGTTATAACTTTTCTCTAAGTAATATATAGGGTTGAACCCAAAAAGTGGCATTAAATAAATATTTCATCTTTGTGATTAACAGCTTTTGCAGCAAAAAATATAAATAGACTATGTCTTTGCAAAGATTGAAGTGCCAAAGCCTAGAACGAGGGTTTTGTAAAACAGGGTAAGATGCGAACAGATACCATCAGTCTGCAGTAGATATCTAAAGAGGGTGCACTCAGTTATGAAAAACTTTTTTATATAATTATATCAATTGTTAAATTATATTATACATATAATCATATAAGAAATGGAATTTATATGTATTTTTGAATAAATTTATAGCGTTTCTTTCGTAATATGAAAAAAAATCTACAAAATTGATTTTACCCCCAATTTAGAACCCCTAATAAACATACCGTTGACTAAAGGAACAACTATAAAATTTGCAATTTTAATTCCTCTCGCTAAATAATAGAAGCTGAAAGGCATCAAGTTAATTATTTCAACTCGCCCCTTCAGAAGCGTCTTTACAGCGGCAAAAATGGAAATAAAATAGGTCTTTGTGGGGATCGTTTGAAGTCACAAAGCCTAGCGCGGAACAGGGTAAGATGGGGACAGATACTATCAGGCTGCCGCATCCAGATAGTGCGTGCTTGTGTGCACAGAATTTTAATGTACCTAATTACGTATCAGTTATATTATCTCAATTGACTAAATAGAATTTTGGGTTTGTTGTTGTTTGACTTTAGTTATGGGATATTTTTCAATTATTGTTTATGTGTTTAAAATCATCGTGAGATACCTAAATTATTTTTAGATGATATTACTATAAATAAGAACATTGATCAAAGGTTTATATAATGTCATTGAACAACAATATTGGTATCAAATGGTCTTATTTCTCTATTATATTATACAATTTGATTTACATATACGAGTATACATTTTGTACTTTATTACAAATTCTTCATAAATAACAATTAAAAACAATTTATACCGCCATATCTAACTACTATTTATGTAATAAAAATTCTATGCTCTCAACTAATGCGTAGAAATTTAGGGTTTCCCTGAAAAATGTGCACGGCTAGCGCGGTCGATACAGACGCCCCGCGCCCCGCAGGTGCGACGAGATAATCCAAGATGGCCGCCGAGATAGGACGTGACGTCACGGCCCTCCCCCGCCCCGGGCGCATCCTCGGAGCTTGCCACCCTCCCAAGATCCTTTAGAAATCTGGAGGTACTGCCCGCATAAACATAACTTTGCTTCTCTAATTTGATTTTATTTTTTCACTAGCTGACTCTACAAACGTCCTGTCTGCAGCGTTAGCTAGTAAAAAATACTGACTGAAAAAGACTGTCTTGTTTCAATTTAAATAAATTTATTTATGTTCTTTGAGGTCATACAAAAAATTCTTTAGAACACTTTCAGTCACTCTCATTTTTTTAAATTTCAAAACCAACTTTTCCCAATTGTTTTTCATTAAAACCTTATTCGAACAATTTATAAAAATAGCCAAATCCGTCCGACAACGACCAGCATTGCATTTTTTATATAGATTTACTTTTATACAGTCAACAATATTAAAGACGACACATCTACATGTATGAACAAAATATTTTTGGTTAGAATTTATAATAATAATTAGAATCTATAAAGTTACCTATTAAAAAATTATCAAGTTCTTAAATATTTAAAATATGCATTAGCAATGATTAAATAATGGACAATGAATATTGAGTCCCTAATTAACAAAAAAATATTACTCATATAGGTATTATTGTGTAAGTGTAGTATAACTTGCTTAAAGTTCAGTAATCTAATATGCTCGTATATATACTTAGTACCAAGATATTATACATAAGATATATTAAGACCGAAATAAATATAACCATTTCTATTTAACTAAGATTTATTTTAATTAACTTTAGGTACAGGAACAGGTTGAGGTAAATGGTCTCCGTCGACTTGGAACCCGTCTGGACCACCTCGATATCTGGTGACGTAGAGCTGACCGTCATCACCAATGAAACTGTATTGACCTTCGATCAGGAGGACGTATCCGCCATTGGAACCAAGCACTAGACGACCACGCTCTGATACCACCGTATCTAAGAAAAAAATAATGCTATCAAAACTTATCAAAATATAGGTACATAATAATTACATGAATGTAGAGCAGTTAAGCTTTTAAAATTTGCCAAAAATCGACATCAGTTAACAATAATAGTTACACAGAATAAAGCTTTTGAAATATAAGTGTTATTTCAAAAGTTTTATTTATAAATTAATAAGTTGAAATTTTTTATATATATATTAGTCATATATTATCGAATGAAAAGATATTAAAAAACTTATAGGTAACACTTACTCTCAGCCGTGATATACCGAAATGCGTACTGGCCATAATCGTCATGAACTTCTTCATGTCGTATCGCTGGTAAAATCCGTAAATAGGAATCATCATCCTCGTATGCTGCTGGTGCACTCAGTACCGCTACCACAAACGACGCAAGTACCACTAACTGAAAATATTTATTGAATTAATTAAAATGATCTTTAAGTACCTAAGCCTATAAAAAATCTAATCCTTATTATTTCTTGTGTATATTTTCTTTATGTCTTTATACACCGTGTATTGGGTGGTCAAAACCAATGCCATGCTTTTAACCAAAGATATATACTATTAATAGAAAATATAAAGTATTTTCCCGCACGTATTAAATTCGAAATTCGAAAATTATTAACTCTGTCGTAAGTCAGAGAGAGAGAGAGAGAGAGAGAGAGAGACATATACCTCACTTACTCAGTTTTTTATTATTTTTACATAATAAAGAGATTAAAAAATTACATTATTGTACTGACAATAAAAAAAAATCTCCTTTTAATTAAAAGAACCCAATACTTTATAACTAACATCAAGAACAAATACCATTATTACGAAGTAGAATAATATGTAATTTTTTTTTTAATTATGAGTTTCTAAAAATATATGTAAAGTTGGCTTACCGATCTCATTTTTCTTGTAATTATGTCACGAAACTGGTAATGAATAAAAAGAACCTTAGCTTATATATACAGTTTGAAAACATTAGAAAATGGATAATGTTGTAATACAACAACAAATAGTTCTAGCTAAAGTCATTTGTAAGTGATAGTTATTTTGAAACATAATTAACATTTTACAGCTTTATAATCTTTAAGCAATATAAAAAAAGCAACCAAATATTTTTAATTTAATTTAGCTTCATGTTTTACTTTGGGGATAAAATTTAGTTCATAAAATAGTAGAAGTATATATTACTAGCAGAACCGGCTTCGCTCGCGCTAAAACTACAAAAAGAACTAAAAAGATAGGTTTCTTACAAACTTTTATCCTCTATTTTACTCCCTTATGGGATAAATTTCGAAAAATGCTAAAACACGTATTTATTTAATTGTATTGAAGAGTATTAATACCAAGTTTCAAGTAATTCTGATCATAAATATTTTTTTGAGTTGTAATAAAACGTGTTTTGGAATGAGAAAGTAGCCTATGTTACTCTCCAGCCCTCCACACTAAAAATCTAGCCAATCTGTTACTCCGTTTCAACGTGAAATAAAGAGAAACAAACAAACAAAAGAAATGATACACATTTTTTATATTAAACAAAGACAAATAATTTCTTAAAATAGAAACCACCAAAAAAATTCGTAGGTACTGCCTGTATGTAAGAATTCAATGAAAATAATTCATTTAAATAACACATAATTATAGTTAGAGCATCTAGTACTATAATTATAATATCCTTATCCTTATCCTTATCCTTATTATCTTCATAACCAAAAAAAGTTTTTTAAAGCTAGTTTTTTTCTGTTGACGCTACATAGGGTGGTACTATGTGCTATGAGCTATGTAAGAGGTTATCTGCGTCGTCGGAGCCTATCTAAATCTGTATAATCGCACCCGCCAAATAATTATTATTACATGTACCGACGTGTACCATATAGCTATCATATCAGAACTATGATTTCAATAAATGTGTCTGTACCGATTCTATATACGATAACATACAAGTATTAAGTAAATCTTTGTACATTTTGGCAATAAGTAACATCTTTTATTAAAGTAACAACTTATTTTGATATTCATTATAAGTTTTTGATTAATTTTTTGTGTAAACAGTCAAATAAATTCTTAATAATTATTGTAAGAAATACATTTGAATATAAGTAGATACTTAAGAAAATATAGGTAATTGTATGAATCGAAAGACAATACTCACTGTATTATATTTAAAAATAATATTTTGAAGGTAACAAAATAAAGAATAAATATAAAAGTTATAAAACAGATCATACTTAGGATTCCTTTAACAGTCATCTAACAGCTACGTACACCTCAAAAATGCGCATCTGGACCATACTAACAGACATCAACAATTTCGCTTAACTACATGCATCTATCTTTGTGCGTCAGGGGTTAAAAAACTTTTCATGGTTGCGTTCAAAGCTCGTTTTCGTATAGGAGGTTTGCTGATGACGTCGATAAGGCAGAGTCGTGTGAAGTCATCACGTAGACGTGAGAGCCACGTTATTGCAGTCACTTGAGCTCCTTTTGTTTGTAAGGATCGCATGAATTAAACGTTTAAGAGTTTTTTAATGCCAAAATAATGGCAGCCATTGAATTCTCCATTGCTAAATTACTAAAAATAAATAATTATTATGTGAAAATATGTATTACATGCCCATAGACTTATTACCAAACAGAAACATATAAAACAAACTCATGATGAATTTTTACTTTATATAATAATTTCAATAATATTCTTTAAAATGTGTATATTATGACAATTTGTAAGCATATTCACGTATAAAGTTACTGATGACGTCGATAAAGCAGAGTCGCGTGAAGTCATCACGTCTAGAGAGGTCCGTTAACGTAGTCACTCCAGTTCCTTTTGTTCGCAAGGATCGTTTGGATTAAGCGTTTAAGCGATTTTTTTCAATGGGAGGATTAAGTGATTTCTATTGGTTGCCCCCGTATTGTGTTATAAAGATTCAAGGCATCTTAGTTCTTATAGCAATATACATAAAATATTTTCTACGTTTTCATACAAAGAAATGGTTTTTAACAAATCTGATTTACTTTTATTTTCTTATTATTTATTTTGCTAGGAATAACATCCCAAGAAGGATGAAGTACTTATATATAATCAAAAGAAAACTTGATTTTTTTTACAATTACATAAATACTGGAATATAATGATACAAACAATCATTTAAGATATTTAGCATAGAATTGAAATAAATAACATTGAAAATATTTGAAAACATTTAATTCATGATGCGTAATAATAGATAGGCAGTAGGTACACATAATATGTTGTGTATCTATATGTAACAAGTAATTAGGCGACGCACGAGGAACGAGGCGGGAAGCGGAAGCTTGCCGGAGATGAAGGCGCGATACAATATCCGGTTAGACGCCATTTCCGCCAGACGTAGTGTGTGGACGCCTTTATATGTGCTTTTATTTTATGCTCTCACTACATTAGTGAAAATTTTATTAATATATCACAGAATTTCAAATATTTTTTTTTATTTATATTATTATTTATAGTATTAATATAGTATAATAATAATGACTATCTTAAAAGGATACTAAAGAAGACTAAGAAGATCTTCTAATAACTTTGTTAAATATCTCTGTTTATCATTTATTTGAAAAAATATAACAAATAGCAGTGCGTTATAATAATATTCTTTGCTTAAAATAAAATAATGGTTTTCACCAAAATGTAACAAGAATGCAGATACCACAGAAGGCAGATAGTTTAATAAAGCTTTAATTGCGCAATACATCGTGCAAACATCCGCATGTACATGCATAACAAATGTGAGAGTAACTCAGGGTGAGTTACCCTAATCCCAAGCAAACCGCAGATAAAGTAGTACCTTCTGTAATATGTGTTAACACTGTCGTCCCAGTAATGGCCATTGTAGAGCTTTGTACGTAACATCTGTGTTAGACGTCTCTAACATTTTCAATATACTGTCCACTTATTTCGTTTAGTATTCAATGTTTATTTGTTGTTGGTTATATTATTATTATATATATTATTATTATATATATTATATTATTATATATTATTTTATAGAAAATATTAATACATAAGTAATAAAGTTAATAAATTGTTTATTACAGACATTCTATATATTTTTAAGATTTATCTCATTTGTTCATCGCTTAGATTTCAAATCAAAGTAATAGATAGTAATTCATATAAACCAACAATAATAAAACAACTATCTTTTCAAATTAAATTAAATTTAGAAAGATAAGCATAGTTGTTATTTAAAAACTTTAAGAGTTTATTTTAATACAGAAATTGTTTATTTTAATTATCACAAAACACATGTTTGTATCATGTATTTGAATTTAGTTAATATTTCTCCCTTGACATTTAACACCCGTGAGTCAGGAAGTGTGAATTAGCGGGTTTGATGCGCCCGCGGCGCGGCGCGTGCACTTTGTCTATCATCATCCTATACAACTGCGGTTAACCCCACAACTAGATGAATGTCATATAATATTACTCCTACTATTTTGATGGTTTTAGAAATAAAAATAATAAAGCTATTTTTTTTTAGATTTCCTCTTGTTTTATGTTTTAAATCTTTGAATTATAAAATTCGAGTGCATTCTTAAATATATTTGCTTGTTAGTACAGCCTAAATAACCGTTAAAAAATGTTTTATCTATCTGTCTGTTTGTACCAGCGAAAGTCCGAAATGGCTGAATGGATTTTAAGTTAAAACGTGATTTTTATTGTGAAAAAAAAAGAATGGCTGCTAGGCAATTGTTAGAAGATCGGATGATAGAAGAACAATTTTAACAATTTTTGATTTGAGCATGTCCATCGCTAGTGAAATCAATCAAAAATGATAGGGGCAGGATATCTCCTACTTAAGAAAAATCGAATATTCCGCGGGATACGGGATTATATATATATATATATATTATATATATATATATATATATATATATATATATATATATATTTTTTGTTTAAGAATTTTGTAAAATCAGAAGTGAAACATTGGCAGGAAGCTAGTAAATAATATATTTTTCTTACCTTATTGTTTAGTGTAGTTTAAACTTGACAAGTTACTCGATATTTATATTTATGTAGATAACGGTATCTCGGTTTAATTAACCAATCTATCTAAGTACCTATTAGTAGGTACACTTTTCGGACACGTTACGATTTATATGACTACAATAATAATAAAATTACGCAAATGTTTAACATTTCTAAATATCTTATTACTATTCCAATAAAACAGTACTGTACCTTAGTTACAATTAAGCTAGATTAATAGCTTGTTAATTAGAAACAAACACGACCGAGACTCACTTTCTAGCCGGTTTGTTGTTTTGGTCCCCTCATTTCGTTAATTAATGTTTTATTACTGGTTTATTACATATCTTAGATACTTTACGTTAAATGGTAATATATTTATTATTAGTATCAAGATTAAGTGAATTAATAATATATCCCAATTTTTAATTTAATGCCTTTTTTAACCGACCGCGGCGAAGCCCAAGATAGGGTTATGTGTTCTACTTATATTTATAGATAAATATGTACCCTCGTAATTATTAAATGGCTTAACCGATTTTAATGAATTAGAAGTCATTAGATTCGTCTTTATAACGCAATTATTAAAAACTATATACTATATAGATATTATTAAATATCAAAATAGCAGATTTCCGGCGCGAATTTGTTTCTTGAAAAAAAAACTTTTTTACTAACAAAGTATATTTTTCTGTATATTTACATGTTTACGTCGTTTAATTACATAACGGTTCCAATTATTTCTTAAGGTAGGTAATAAATATTATAAATTTTCACCTAAATCATTGTTTTAACCAACGAACTAGATTACAACGTATAGGTATACAGATCAGTCTATAGATAATACACCCCTCAAATAAATCTGATTTACTGCTGCGATTCCATCTCTGGTTA